AAATCTAAAGGGCATAGACATAAAAATACTGCTTTGTTTTCCTAAAGGTTAAGATTAAAATATAGATTCAAAAGGTATATGCTACCAGAATGGTCGCACAACAAAACCTCCAACAATTTATCAAGTGATTAACACAGGAAAACAGAAGTTTCATTATAGATTGAGAATTTCTACACTCCACTGTTATGAAGTTCTGCCCACAATAAATCAGGAGTCTAATATATATACTATATACATATTTTTAATCGCTGTATCCTTTAAAGCTATCACAGCAGTAGTGCCTCTCAGACAGAATGGTGAGTTCCAGCCTCTGGCAGTGTTCACTGCAATCTAGGGCAGCCCATACATTTCCTCCTGTCCTCCTCTGTAGGATGGAGATAACATTGGTGGTGAGAGTTGCTAATGAAGCCTTTCTATACAAGACCTAAATAATGTTATAATTATCCCCAGAATGATTCTAGAATCAACTATATAGAGCCATTAACTCCTTATTTTCAGGGGTCATAGGTATATAATGAAAGAACTTTTGTGATTAATTAAAAAGCAAGAGCATGTCTAGACTGCCTTGTAGAACCACGTATTTGATTACAAGCAAATTTATTTGTCCTGCCTGTTCATTCACTAGAGGAAACATGTTTCAGATCCTTGAAAGCCAGAGGAGGGAAGCTTTGTGCTGCAGCAAGGGGAGGCTGGGCTGAGGGAGCTGTAGGTTGTTCCACCCGGGCAGACTCGGTCTTGGACAGTCAGCAACCTGCACGGACTGATGCCAAGGGGAACAAGCCTTGGCCTCCTAACCTTGCTCTTTCTTCAGAAATCCTTGAAGGAGATTCCAGACCAGCCCTGTGGGGCACTGCAGATCCCCACTGGCAGATTTCTTCCTTTCATAAAGCCATTTATAGAGCTGGAGTAGAGAAGAGAAACATGGGTGTGACCAGAGCCTGGTCCACAACTTGGAGCTCAAGCTCATGTTTTTAATCTCCTAAGTTCTACTAGTAGATGGGACTCTCCTAAAGCCTAACCAAAAAAAAGCCATCAGAATGCCTATCAAATAAGAATTCCAATATATTCCCCCTCACTGATCTTTTTAAGGCATGTATTTTTAAATTATGGCACTGATAATTTTCTCTAGACTAACAGGAGCTAATATCATACTTCCTTACTTGTATTTCTACAGGATAGCGCCTCAGATAATATGTATATGAATGAGCAGGTTATTTCTTACCTTCAGTGGCTAATTTAATCAACACTATCATTATATTTGCTGATACACTGGATACTGGCACACATGAAATCAGCATTCTCATCAGTGAATTCTCAAATATAAATGAATCGACACTAATTTTCCCTCTAGGATAAGGGAAGTTTACCATATGAGATATTCCCATAATATAAGATTTATGTATGATTGTTTTTCCCCCAGATTTGCACTAACTACACTGATGTTTTTCTGATTGACTGTGGTTTGTTTTGGCAGTTTTCCCTTAAATTGATTGACTCTCACTTTCCATGACTTGTGATCTTTGCACTTCCTAAAGTGTCAGTAAGGCAGGCAAAATATAATCAGCATAATAGAGCAGAATGTTGAGAGAGATTTTCAAGCTAGCATATAAGGCTGTTTGATTTAAAAACTCCATACTGGAAGGAAGGAAACTAAGTTATTTTAAAAATGGTATATTATCATTATTTATTTTACTACTGCCTAGATTCACTGCAAATCATGTCAAGCTTTTTTTGAAAAAACATAAGTATTTCATGGCTTATGTATGAAATGACAACAAATAACTCATCTGAGGGAATACATTTCATATCTGGTTATGTCGGGGGCTCCTTATTCTACTTTCTATATTTGAAACATAGTTTTTTCAGTATTATTACATGAACCCTTTTTTTTTAGAATTTTTAACAGAAAACTGGTGGAATTTATAGTAAATGCTATTATTAGTGTCAGATAAATCAATATATCATTATATTCATCAGTCTAGCACAGAAAAATGCATGGGAAAAGACATAAATGGTAAAGTTCAAAATGAGTGAAAATTCTTGTGATATGCGTATCTCCAAACTGTATAAAGGAACACCATGTATATCTCAAATATGGCAAACAATTTAAAGCTATTAGCTTCTTTCCTGTGAGAAAAACTCCTCTAAATCTAATTTCATACTGTTTGGAAGGATGTTTTCCCTTGGGAGACTATTACTCTAATCATGAAACAAGACAATTTAGGACCTTTACATCAAATAATCTGAAAGGAGCCAAAAATCTGTCCTTTTTGCCAGCCAAGAGAAAGAATGGAAAGAGATGACTCTCTGACATCTCCCTGCTTCCCTCCACCCTATAAGCAATTACTTATAGGACAGCTGTGCCCAGGGTACATTAGAGGGTCAGGCAGTTGTTGCATCAGGTAGTTCCAGGATGCCTGTCTGTGGTTGCCCCATTCACATATCATGGGAACTTAGAATTGATATTCAATTAATAACATTAAAAAAAAAAAATAAAATTTTAAAATCACATTTAACCCCCCTACAAGCTTTTACTAGATAAGCCATCACTTACAAACCTAGACTATTACAGTGTCATGGATCAAGGAGAAAGAAAAGGCCTACTGTGTTCTATGAATTAGCTTAGGGGGTCTCATTTCCATAGATCTTGTGTCATATCTTAGTGAGGAAATTGTCTCATTTCCCAATCATGATTGTATAAACATCCCTTAGCAACTACAGAAATGGCTCTTGTAGATAAAGACTATCAAAATCAAAAAGTGAAATACTTTTCTAGTTTTTTTTTTTTTTTTTTTTTTTTTTTTTTTAAATAAAATGAAGTAGCTAGAAAGGAGAACAGCCAGCACTGGAGAAGCATTGACCTTTCTCTGGACCACCAGAGTGTTCCACCAATCCAATCTGGGAACATCTGATCTTGTACCTTTCTCCTGCCAATCAATGATTTGTTCCTCATATGTTCCACGTTTTCCCCTCACAGTAAGACCCATGTCTGAAATTCATTTCCCATGAGGCACTTTTTCTGTAGGGTGAACAAAATGAAGTTTATGCAAGACATCTTATAAAGTTTATGCAACAAAAATAAATCTAAAACTATGGTTAGTTTATGGAAAAACAAAAGATTTCTGGTTACTATGCATCTTTGTTTTCATTTTGTTCTCATTTCATTCAGGAAATAAAAGGATAATAGCAGTTAATGTGTAGAGTTTATAAATTCCACAGAAAGGTCTTGAATACAATATTTTTTCTTCCTGATGCCGATTTGAAATAGGGTAAGATGTGTTCATATAACTTGAAGAAGATTTGAGATAACAGATGAAAAAATATAGCTAGACTAAACTCTCTTCCCTTATAAAGGTATTTTTAAAATCACATTCTGCCAAGGACCAAACACAACCAAAGAACAGAAGCAACTCTGAGAACTCAGAGATGAAATGCTTGCTCTTGCTGAATAGGCAAGGAAGCAAAATGAGCCCTCCTCTCTCTTTCTGATGAGCCCTCTAATATTTTCCTCTCCAGTGTTCCTCAGTCTTTAACTACTTTTAACACTTCAGTGAAGACATTATGATCTTCAACCAATAACATAAAGAAAATAAACAAACAAACAAAATCACTATCAGTTTAAAACTGTTCTAACAGATCTAAAATGACTTTGTTCCACAGAGAGGAGTATATAGAGATTATTTATCCTTAATTGATATTGTTCTCAAAGAACAGGACATCCGTGCTACATGCAATCATGGTCTCTATAACTAACTAGAACATCCTTTATTCAGGTAAGATAAACTTTATAAATACACTTTAAAAAAATGTCCTAGCGGATGCATATACACATATAAAATCAGTGTGGTAGCTTTCCTTATTTAAGCTCTTTAAGTTGCATTGTCCCCATGCTCAATGGTTGTCCAATACTAGTTCACATTCAGGACTGAAAACTCTTGGTAGAAGACATCATTTCAGGTGGATGGGTTTGGTGAGAAATGGGGACAAATGTAACATATAAAAAGGATTTTTTTTTTAATCTGTTCTGATTATACATTCCATTTCTTAATCTCTTCTCAAGAAGACTTAGAGCATTAGGTATCATAAGGGAATGACATTCCTACTTATTGCCAACTTACAGGGGGCTATGGAGTTTCATGCCGTCTTTACGGAGACATATTGTATCTTACTGAGAAGAATCTTTTTGAAAAAGGAAGTAGAAGTTTATATGAAAATTAGCAAACTTAAAGATATCAAAAAGTAGTAGTAGTAAAAAGCAAAGCCACTCCTCCAATATCAAAAAGCCTACCAATATTAGAAAAAGTAGCCCAGCAAAGAGTTTGAAAAGCAAGAATATTTTTACATGATATTTGAGACACGAGATATACTATGATGATGTAGCTACGTAAAATAGATTAATGCATTTATGTTTTTCCATAAAAGATGCCTCCTATGCTCAATGCATCATCTCCATATACCTCCTTACCCCATATCACTATGGCTGAACCATAAAACTAAAGTACACACACTTGGAGAAATTAAACCCTAAAAATCTATATTACATTAACATCTCTTCAAATTGTAACATTGAGCTCCTAAAAGCAAAGGACAGCTAAATCTATGACTCCGAATAGATGCATTTTTTGCAACATGAATCCCATTCACACATGCTATAACACTGTCTTTGCTAAGAAAGTTATAGACAATTTTTCCAGAGAATGCTTGCCTCAGACAACAGAAAGATGGCAGATGCAAAAAGATGAGAGAGCTAAGTTTCATTAATTATTTAAAATCTCAGAGCTGGACATGATATTCTATTTTTTTTTTTTTTAAATCAACTTCATAATATTGGTAGACCGTTAAATATTTTTTGAGGCAGTAGTCTTTTCAGATGTTTCTTCTATATATCCTGGAATTCATTTTTTCTCTTATCCACAATAGGAGTAACTAGGATTAAAATATGCACGATCAGATACACATCTATAAGGACCACTTTAATTGTAATAAGAATGAGAACTTACTGTCTTGCTGATGTAATTTGTGCTGATATTCATACACTGGAGTCCTTCACTATTGCAGCAACCTCCACATCTGTAGATGGATACACATGGGGGTTTAAAGAAGGTGTTTGTAGTTGCTCCAAACTCTTTTCCCACATCCACGCAAACTTCACGTGGCATGCACTGAGTTTTTCTCCATTCAGTATCAATACCTGCCAAGTTATATGGAGGTTCACGTGTTACAAAGCAGCTGTTTAAAAATATTCCTGTCGTCAATTAGCAGAGTTTTTCTTTTTAAGTTTAGAACTAGAATATGCATCTGTAGGATCATACCTTTTATTATATTATTATATTATTTATACTCTAGCTTAACTTCTAGCTAACTTCTCTCCACAGGGATATGTCATGTTGTCATGGAGCAGAGGAAAAGTCATAACTGAGCTAACATGAAACTAAATAAGGTTCAGCAGATCTTACGGCATCCACAGCTGAAGCTGTGCACTTCCTTTCTCACTTGGGGTAAATCTTACCTTGAGCAAAGTCTACAGAACTACTGCACATCTCTGCCAATGAACGTTAATGGTCCTATTCAGCGTTCACACTTTTAAAGCAGCACTATGTAATGGAAGAATGCACTACCAGCCTTGACTTCAATTGTAGAAAAGAACAAAACTGGTTCGGAGTCCAAATATCACTGTGCTCTTGCCTTCTGCAAAATGTTCATAGTCTCTTACAAAGCAGAAAGATGTCTTAACACTTAACTTCATGTATCTACTAAGTAGTATATCCCTTTCTTAGAATGAAGTTATCAAAATATTAACTATATGGAACAACTTATTTCATGACGGAGGTTTCATAGTCAAGAATTTTATGTTATAGTCATTATATCAAAACGAGCTTTTGACAATGCTTAGCTATTAAAATTTCTTTGAGACAACTGATAAGTCTGGATTTTAATTTACCGTGTGTTAGAACATACTTTACTTACTTTTCAGGATCTCTGCATTATAGTGCGCTGCAGCAAACTTCAGTGAATCATCTGATCTTGTGTCAAACCTGGAGTGTTCCCTGTTGTGCTGCCAACCTCCTTTCCTCAGTTGACATTTGAACATTTTCCAGTATTCTGGGTAAAGTACTGTCATGAGTTCATCCACGCTGGACACGGACCGCAACTGCTCTTCCAGGTCTCTGCTTGCATGAGCCTGTTAAAAGTTACATGCAAGATTAATTACTCTTTCTCTTACACAAGATTTGTTGGAAACTATCTTAAAAAATAAGTCATATAACTCTAAAATAAATTCTTACTCAAAGGGGTGTCATTACAAAGATTGTTATTTTTCAGTTGGCAATGACATACTTCTGTACTGACAAATACTGAAATGCTTTGATTCTTTATCAAGTATGCAGTGAACATGATGTGTGTGAGAAAGGAGCTGTAGAAGTAAATCTATATAAGTAGAGTTTGCAGGTTAAGAAAATTAATTGCACTTCTGAACACAAAAGGCTTTGTAGTAAGTTTTTGAACATACAGCCTCATATACACTTAAACTGACAACATGTTTTTGCCCATTTTCCCCTAAGTTGAAAAAATAAAACCAGAGAAGAGTCCAAATGATGAAAGCAAGATTAGGGGGAAAAAAAAGGAGGCAATTTTGTACCTTTTTAGAGGTACAAATTTTTAAATTTAATTTAGAGGTACAAATTTAGAGAAAATATTACTGAGTAAGTTCTCTTTATAGAGCCTTAAATAAGCAGGAATTTGGGGACTTTGCTATCTATAAGAAATCTGAGCTGCACACTCCAACAGCGGTAGAAGTTTCAACTGAAACTCTTAAGGTCTGTAAGCATTAGACTATTCTTGAAAAAACTTGTTAACAAGTCTCAAATTTTGCAATCATACTTTCTTATTTGTTGACTTTTGCACAAAACTGCTTGTACTTGCGTTTTTCTGTAACTCTGATTTATATTCTGGTTTCTCATTAACTCCAGGTTCCTGGAAACATCATCTATATCCCCAGTTAAAACAGCATATTCTCCAAAGGATTCCTGCGAATCCCTGCTCATCCTCTCGTCCATAAATTGCTCAGTTCTCAAAGGCCAGTAAAAGTGGCAGTTAGTAGATAAAATATATATATATAAAGAACCTTAAGTCACCTTCTCAGCCTCTGTAAGCCCTTAGGTGGCAGTATGAGACACCCTATATAAAAGTATACTTTGCAAAAACTGTCTTAACAGCTGGCTGTAGATTCTGTACATTACTACGGAACTGTCACTGAACTACGAAGTTACAGAAATTAAAATTCAAGACTTTTAATCAAACTATCATGAGGAAAAGAAATTTTCTCAATCACTAACAAGCACCCAACTAGCTTTCCTCAAGAGAGCATTAGCTGACCAAAACAAGCGCTGAGCTAGATCATCTGCCCCAGAACTGCTCCTTACCTCGCAGACAACCAAACCAGGACAAGTGTAGCATCCGCTTTCTCCTCAGGTATCAAATCCAGGAGAAAGGAATACTGTGAGTCTGCCTCTCCTGAGAGAATACTGAAACTACAAAAGCCAAAGCTAATGCAGACTTCAAAGTCATTTTATTGCCAAAGCGCTAGAGTGTCAAACAAATGTTTTAACTAAAAAAAACCCGTTTTAACCACAACAGTGAATGACTGCTTACTTTGTCCTGCGAGCTGTTGGCATTCAAGCTATGAACCTCAAGCACATGCACTCAGAGGCCTCACAAGGAGGCCTTATCTCTGACCCAAGCCACCCGGCATGCACCACCTTGGACCTCATCTTCACATCAGCTGTCCCTCACTTTCCAGCACTGCTGCTCTGTGTGTGGGACTTCACATAGGCCCTTGGCCAGTCATAAACAATAGCTAAGCTACACAAACAACTAAAGTCACCAGAGATGGAAACTGTTTGGTAACTCCAAACTGCAAACACAGACGGTGTAGGCAAGAAGTTGCCCACCAAAGGCAAGAAGGTGGCTCTTTTTTGATTCGGATGCTCAAGGCACAGGCCTAGGTCATCAGACAATTAAGTACTGAAACTGAAAATTACTTAGTCTATAAAAACCAGTGGAGGGTGCAGAAGAGAGGTTATATTTGTTAGAAGAAAAATGCTTTCATGAAACACTCTTCAGTCAGGAAATCCAGTTATGCCTTTCCCACCTGGAACGCAAATTCAGTACGCTCGTATAAAATATGCCTAAACAAATGCTTAAAACATAAAGAAATTAGTGGTAGCTAAGTTAACTAAGCACTGTTTTCAAGTGTAATTCTTCATGGACTTTCCAGAGGCTGTGTTATGCAAGTGGTAGAGAAGACTGCCTGCAGTGTAAAGTGCTCATTTAATAGCACTCCATAACCAAGTATGAGCAAACCTTTCAGACAACACCATAGGAAAACAATTTGTGCAAAAACTTGCTTTTTAAAAATGAAACATCATTATTCCATCAAAATTATCTCCTGCTTAGCTTAATGAAGCAATTTTCTTGTAAAAATGGCTCTGAACCAAGTTTATGAATACACTGTAGAAAATCAGCTCAATCACTAGAGGGCTTTTGTTCTCTCACCTCTTCAGACTTTGCCAAAAAAGGGGAAAAATTTACATTAAATAGCATATGCAGTAAATAGCATATTGCAGCATATGCAATAAGTAGAAAAGAGTAGGAATTACCTTGACTTTTGAAATATACTTCCAGTATTACCTTGACAAACACTTATATCTCTTCCCAAGGCAGCCACCCACAGGATGCATGCCAAAGGCATTTTTGTATTTTTGAACTGCTGCAAATTATTCTCATCTGGGTCAAACTGTTTAAATGAACATAGCAGTAATTTGTCTTTTGTATGACAATCAATTATTGCTGACATGAGTATTAAGCTTTATCTTAAATTGTGGTTGATTAGAAGCATCTCCTGTGTATAGTAAACATACCAGATTGTTAAAAGATTATTTAATGCAAGAGTCTTACTTTTTAAAGAAGTGAATAAAACTGCTTTTCTAAGTATAATAGCTTTGGCCTGGCAATATAAAGTTTCTGCTTTGTCCAAATTTTGATTAATTTCACACAAATATGCTGACGCTCTCCCTACTTTCTATTCCAAGTTCTTTGCTTTTCCTTAAATTGCGTATAGACTTTTAATGTAGAACGTACACAAAAATTGTTATTAAATATCAAAATATTATTAAACATCAAAACACAACAGACTTTAAACTTCAGAAGTTATGCTAAGGCCCAAAGAATATAAAAAGAAACAATATATAGTATAAATCAGAAGAGCTTTCTTTTCAGCAATCTGTGTGAGAAGAAGTTTGGGAAGCAATATGGTTTGGATATGAAATTACTCACACTGCGCTGGTTATTCCCAAATGTAATCTTAAGATTAAAATAAAATAAATTAATATTAAACCTAACATTTGTTCTATTGCCAGAGAGTAACATAACATTAACAAGTGTTTTGATAAGAGCAATTATAAAACTTTTAGGGCCCAAATATACTTCCTTGCGAATGTAAACAGTGCACTGCTTTTCATATGAATCAGGTGCAGTGAACTCCACACAAAATCCTGGACTAATTACTTGACATTTTTTTCTGGAAAAGCTTTCTAGGATCTACGCCCTATATCTTCAGAGGAAAGCAGAAAATCAGTGCTCCAGAGGAAGGACTTTTCTCTATGATACGCGTTCTATTTTCTTTCACTATGAATTATTTAGTTCAGGAACATCCATTCTACCAGAAGAGTTTTTCCATCATGTGCGATTCCACTACATGGTTATGTCCAGTTTTGCATAAAAATACTGTTTAGAAACAGAGGGGCAGGAAATCAAGTAGACTTCTTAACTATTTGCAGTACTAAATCTATAATAACTTTTCCACGCATTACGTTATTTATCTTTCACGTGTCTCCAGTGTCTGCCTCTATTAATAGCAAAGGTCAGAACACTTAATATTTGGCAGATGACACGACACGTAATTGATGGCGCAATGTGCTATAATGGTACTTCATGCATCTGCTCTGATTATAGTTGTCAGTTCGTTTCATTTTCAAGTATTTTGTTAACAATTCTTAATAGGAAAATTCTGCCTATAAAACCTTCCATTTTAATATGCTTGTGTACTGCATTTATTGACCAACTGAAATGCATTAAAAAACAAGTAGTTAAATTCGAATGTTGAAACCAACTGCAAGCAAATGGAAATATTGCAAAAGAAAAGTATGTATAAACATTTCACTTGCATAATATTTTACTCTAATTTTCATGTATGTCAGCACTATTTTTTTTGGAAGTTGATAGCAGCAAAAAAAGAAATACTCTCATTAAAGTACCTTAGTCATACCTAAGACTTGAAATTAACTTTTTTGAACATCACCTGCAGTCACACTACAATAGATCACATTTGACTTTGCGTGCACTGGTTTGGCTCTAGTAAAAATCGAATGGGCTGTCCAAAATTGCAAACTTGTGAAGTTGCCATTGCATACAGTAAGAAAACAGTGCCTTACTGAGGAGAAATGGTAACGTGAGCTATTTCAACATGAGAAGTAATAAGAGTACTTCAGTTACATGAACTAAACCAAAACACCATAAAAACAGCATGAAAACAAGAGATTAGAATCAGTTGGTATTCCAAAGAACGTACAAAATACATCAAAAACATTATAAAAATAAAATTGCAAAATTAATATATCAAATACATTATTTTGCTTAATTTTTAATAATGTTTTTCAAATATGTTATTTTGGAAGTGAGTGTGGCATTTTAAAAATCAAGAATAATATCAGACAAAGGTAGAAAATAGAGGAAGAAAATAAAAAGACAGACACTGGCTATGAGGAGAAGCTTTACACTATAATGTTTCACTACTAAATAATAAGTCATATTTTTCTCTGCTTCAGAATGTTCTTGGAGGGAGACATCTAAACTGCAAGAAAACCACCCTGGAATATTATTACTGCTATCATACTTATGAGCACTTAAGTTGAGGTAGTTAGCAACCAATTTCCACTTTCTGGGATATCCGATTTTTCATATGAGTCAGCATTTTTAAGCAAATGTTTTCCTTAAGTATCCTTGGAATATGCCGAAACTGCTTCGGATTATAAATTTGCAGAGGAACTTATATTTGGTCCTTAAATCCACTAATAAACTGCTGCCGGGATCTGAAACACACTCTTGGCTGGTGCTTATTCCCCA